TCTTGTCTGGTTCCCGAAATCGCTTCCTCGCCAAAAAATTTGCATATTTTTTTTAAAGAGTCCGTGCGCGGCACCCAAGCGTTCGCGAAGAATGATATTAAAACGGGAGAATCGCGCATGGTATGAGCAAATACTACCAAAGTTTCAGCCTTCTAGCTTTTCTGGTTCTCGAATTGAAAATGGGTGACAAAAAGTGCGAACACACAGACACACACCCAAACACACACATACACACAGAGCCTCTTCCCAATATGCGTTTTGGCAATTTGCATGTATGCAAAAACGCATAAAAACTGGCGCTCAGTTACAGTGCAAAAAACTGGTCAATAGTTTTACATTTTTCTCATGCGATAATCCACGAAATCGCGATAAAATTCAGGATAGTCAGCCACAGCGTGCACATCCATATTAAACTCTCAGATGCTGGCATGCTTCAGGATGGCTTTGGAGCCTTTCACATTAGTGAGGAAGCAAATTAAAATCCTCTGTATTTCACCGTTTCCATTGGCCCAAGACTTGCTAAGAGATGCGAGTGCAGTGGGACAAATGGACTTGGTAACGATGTCCCACTTCCAAGCAAACCTTGGTCCAGAGACTGTGTGATCTTTCAGCTGATATTGTAGTGGACGATAGGCGGATTTGAAGAAGAGGGCTGTGGAAAGAGTAGCGGCTGTCAGCTGAAGGACGGCCAGCCTTTTCTTCACCAAATTAGCCTATCCGATGGTGCTCAACCCTTATCCGATCCGTCCCGATCCGATCCAGGCTACACAGTCTATCAGTTGCTCCTCGAAAAAAGGGGCAGGACCATTTCGAGCATTTGACGGACGAATGGACCGGCATTTGGGAAGGTAGACAAGCAGGCAGCAGCCGCTACTTGCCCAGCATCCTGCAGTGGACCCTCATCTTCCTCCCTGGCTGGACTCCTCCCATGTTGAACCGTTGCAATTCAGAGCAGCGCGAACAGAACCGCTTGACCTTTTGGTGAATTGCGCGACAAGTTCTTGTCGGTCAGCGCACTATTCCGTGTTTCGCTGTGCAACTCGGCTTTCGATATTACCAGATTTTGCGATCAGCACTGCCTAGCTTTCTACGCCATCATTTAAAAAAGTTGTATTCTGGCCTTGCTTTTCTATCGTTCTTTGAATGCTTGAAAATTCTGGAATACCTGTTGCTGAGTGAGTCTTCAGCTGGCTACAGCCTAGCTTAATTACTAGAGTAACGTGCTTTATCCCTGATTCTTAAACTCATTTAAACTCCGTTTTCAATCAGAAAATAAATTCCAAAGTAAACGGGAACGAAAACTAAACAAATTTGAAGGATGACTGCGTAGTGGAGATATTCGTAGCACACTAAGTCCGTTAAGTTCAAAATCGTATCGTTGTCACTTCACCATCTCTGAAATCCGCTTCTTTCTCATTTCTAGTGTTCTCAGAAAATCTGTATAATTAAAGACCGATAAAGCAAGTTACTTGTGACCTTCACCAACATCAATGGCGGACGGACTAGTTGACCATCCTTACTTTCCTTTGTTTTAAGCAGTTTAAGCGTGGATTTGGCTTGGGCGATCTGCAATTCCGGGGTTTCATCTCCTCATCTTTTTCTAGGCGAAACTGTCGAAGGGCTGATAAATTTATATATTCCATCTTTCACTAAGTCAGTCATTGCTCTGATGATATCGAGTACAGCGTTGGCTTTACCATCTATCGCGTAGCTAAATGAGTCCGGATTTTCAACGGTCCATGATGTAGTCAGTTGCAAATAGAGTTATCAAAAAGACATTGAGGAAAATATATTGTGTTCTGTCTTTCTTCCCAGTTTTCCTGCATTCGACTTTAACACAAACGCAGTGCGTGAGAGCAGTGACCAGCCCACGAAGACTCAAATCCAATCCAAACAAACTTGTCTAAAGACGTAGCCGAAAATATATTGTTCTTCAATAGTTTGCATTCTCCCCAATACATGAAACTTATTGAATTAAGCTTCCATTGTATGCCAGGCTTTCTTCCGCCTCCTCCTCCTCCTCCTCTTTCAGCTATCAGCTCCTTCCAGGGACCATTTCCTTCCCGATTCGCTTTTCCTTTCCTTAATTTCCGTTTTGTTTCCTCTTTCTCATTATTTCGGCAAAATGGAGCTGCCCTTCGTCGGGTCCTTACTGGAGATGAATTTACCATTGTTTATGTGTGTGGGCTATTGGTCATTGCATATTCATTGGGTTCGCTTAAAATGAATTCAATTGCTTCATTCAATTGTTTGGTCTCGAACCTGAATTCGCTTATAAACACAGCTTTGCATTTCATAATTATTCATTTTTTGCGTTTATGTAAATACAAAATAAATGTGGACGAGACTCTCTGTGCGTATGCGTGTCTTCGCCTGCCTGTCCTGCATTTTCAAACGCAAATTTAGAGAAAAAGTGGTCATTAGTCAGTACACACCGTTGCTCATTTCTTGTGCTTACGCTTTTCTGAGCGTTTATGCAAGTGCGAAAAGGAAAAGGAACATTCGGATGACATTCGAAGGGGAATTTATAAAGTGGTCACTAGTGCACCTGGAAAAAAGAGGCTGCATCAGACACCTCCTTGCATTTCTGTAGTGCGAAACACCATCTTTGCACTGCAAAACACCATCTTTGCACTGCGAAACACCATCTTTACCACTTAGGCCTAGTCCTTCACTTTTCCAGCTATTACGCAATTTTTTTGTCAAAGTCTCTTCTGCATTCGCTCTTTATGAGAGAAGCAGAGGCCCCGAGTGGTGACAAATGTCAACAGCAAACATACTCTGGCAAAGCTTTTGATGGCTGGTTGTTTCGGTGCTGCTTATATGAAAGCTGAAAGCGAGTATGATTCCCTGGCATAGCCAGTAACAATTTACTACAGAATCAGTGAACTGTAGAGGAACTGCTTGTGTCACCGGCGGAGTTGACCCTGAACAAATTTTTTGGCTGCGAGTCTACATAAATTTTCTCGTGTGTGTAACAGCAAAACGACGCAGACTTTCATCATGGTACCATTGGCTGGATAGAGATAGCGTGCACTGTGCTCCCGCGCTGAGGTGTCGATTTTCTACGTCCAGTCCTCGCATTTTCACGCTAAAATGTTTAAATAGAAACTGGAGCAAAACGCTTAAACAGGCTCCCATGTCCTTGCCGTATTTTTTGTAAATGAGTTGTCATGTTTTTTGTGGCACATAGATGCGTGCAATTTTTTATATTCTCATGCGCTTCGGACTGTTTTGAGCAGGCATCGTGTGTGTGTCTGTGGCTCAGAAAACGAATGAAAACAATGCGCGCCGCATTTGTTGCGGTGTAGATCGTGGCGCACTCGTAGTGACCGGTTTCAGTGTCCTGGCGATGCCCTATGAGCGGTGCGACAGTTCTTCAGCACAGTCGCGACGTTTTTCCCGCAAACCTGCCACTTTCGATGCTGACGAGCATGAACAGATTTGTCACAAAGCAGAGGATATCCCGCTACCTCCGTCTCTAAATCGCTTCGTAGTTGCACCTGCACGTTCACCGCCCAGTTCTCAGGTTTGGCTCGTTTTTACATTTATGATATGAACCAAGCGCGATGTGATAAGAGTATCCGTTTAATATAAACAGGTCTAGCGCGTCTGCGTGTTTTGACTTACGTTTGTTCTTAATTTGGCCGCGTTGTCACCTGATAATCTGGCTTACAAAGCCACTGAGGTGTTGCAAACGGTTTTTAAAATTTGTTTCATGTGGATCGCTAACTGAGCTTGTATAATTTATTAGTACGGGTGTAGTACTAGTTTTAAACTCGTTTGCTTCTTTGAAATTCGTCTTACCCAACGATATATAGCACTTATCTACTTACCCATGTACACATTCCACTGGAATTTGAATTAATTTTAAAAAGAAACAGTCAAAAGTGCAAGAATCTAGCATCAAAATTTAAATTCGAGGAAATCGATTCATATAACAGATCAAAGACACGCTTCGCTGGCAAATGATATATACAGTGAGCCGTTCTCTGTTTATATACAGTTCTAGATTCTAGCACTGCCCTTGTGTCAGTAATGAAATTCTACATTTGTTGATAGATAAGCATATTATGCGTGTGTGTGTGTGTGTATGTGTCCATGTGCTAAGCATGTGTGTGTGTGTGTGTGCAGCTATTGTTTGTTACTCATTGGATAAACAAATTATATTCATATTCGATGGATGGCGGTTTACTCCTTTGTTCAAACATTACTGATATATGCAAGCTGCTGTCAACTCACTCACACTGCGCATATGTAATGCGCACATACCAGATGCACTTACGCATATGAGAAGGGTACGTCTGTGCAGCTATGCAAGCACGTGAGCATACATACACAAGTGTTTGTGATGAGTGTACTTGGTGGTGTCATATTACGATATAATTAAAACAACGATTTTGCCAAATAAACTTGCTTTGGCTTAGCTATACGTGAAAATCCCTGTGTGTGATGTTTTTTAATTAGAAGTCCGTGGAAAGCTAATGGTACTAAATCAGGGGTTTTCTGAATTTCAAACTGCAGTGACATTTTAAGAATTAAACTGTGGATGAGGGAAAAACCGCACTCGAAAACTGATGTTGTAGAGCTGGATATGCGGAGGAAGGAATGAGAGTAAAGTTTCGGTTCGATATTATACCCTCGAAAAATGTACATTTCTGTGCTACCACTTCGAGGGTGCGGCTTCAGTCCTTACTCTTAGTATTATTCAAAAGTGAACAGCGCTCCGTCAATGTAAGTTCTGTATTTGGTGCCGTATGGACAAATGGTGGCAGCTATAACTAAATAACGGGCAACAGCTAAAATACCTTTGCAAATTTGTATTAGGTGAAAGAAGTAAAGGCCAGTGCAACTTGTTCCTTTAGTGAGCAAGCGGTGTTAAGAATTCATCCATAATTTCAGTGATTATAGAACC